AACATCGCCGGTGACCCTTTGGTGAGTGCATCTGAGCCATCAGTAACGCCCTTTTGGATCATCTCTACTTACCTGACCCTAAATCAGTTTGCAATTTTTTAAAGTCTCCATTCATTGCTACCATGAGGGCAGAGCCTTAGTCTATCATTAATGCCTTTCGCAAGGAGTATTCAGAAAATATTTCCTTCAAAATTGGCTGTTAAAGAGCTTGTAAAGTACAGTTTTGCTCTACTGACTGAATTCGAACCAAGTTGGAAGTGTCCACAATTGGTTAAACCCAGTTTGCATAATTTGAAACTGGTATCAGAGAGACTTCAAAAAAAGACACACCGTCCCGCGTCCTCCATCATCGGCTCGTTGAATTGGTACATTCCCGGACGTTTCGTCAGAATTACAACTCGTCAAATGACCAAAGATTGTGCTTCTCACTAAACATGCAGGCAGGTATTTACTTCGTAATTTGATCTTCAAAACTGATCATTTTTTTGTATCAATTCTTCCGAGAAAAAATAAACCCTTATTTTGCCATAACTCGTCTCTTTTATCAGAAGCGCAATACCTTGCATAAAACAATAAGCATATTCTGGCTTTCTACAAGCAGTCATTAAACAAATGCAATTTTGCCTCGTCAAAAAGGCCGTCACGAAGTTTTGATAAATCTTTTGTAGCACCATTGCCTCGGCGCTCGAAGAAGCCGCCTAAGGAACATTTTCACATTCTACAAGACGAACGACAGGGCCGCAAGACGGTGCGTAGAAGAGGTCCTGGTACAAATCCACAGTCATGACTGCAAGATCATCCTCCTTGGGTTACGGAGAGGCTAGCATACGCATCCTTTCCACTTTCCTTTTAATCTTAACTCTGTAAAGACAGACCCACAGAAGCCGAAGCCGGGCCACCAGAAATGACGCCTTTGACGTTGCCTGCAGACTGACAAAGTGTATTAATTTGCAGAAAATATAAAGCGATTTGTGTATCTCTTCGCAACTTTTTTAAAAGATCCCTTAAAGAATGATCCAGTTGATGGCACCTTACGTTTATATTTCTTGCTTTTAGTTCAATTTTTCCGAAAAAATGTGAAAAAAATACTTTAAATCTAAAATGATAGGATACGTTTTTATATCTTACCATTGTTCAGATGGGTCTGCTCGAGAGAGAGTTCGGGAGGTGTGAAGAAGGGCGATTCTAGGCTATACAAGAAGTTGTCGTTGCCCAACGACTCGAAGTCGTCCAAACCCTCATGTCGATAGAAGAATAAGGCAGGAATAGCAAGAAAGAAAAAAGATATTACTTGCTTTAAACCAATTATTCAAAGAGTAAGGCATTTTATTTAATTTTGTGAAACATTATCATGGGAATCCTGTGCTCAGAAGATGATGGGCAGATGGTCTAAGAAATTGATAAAAATAGAAATCAAATCTTTAATTGGTTAAAGAGCCAACGGTTACTTTTGGATCTCAGAGATGGACAATTTCAGGACTTAAGAGACCAGCTATGTTGAGGGCCGGAAATCGTCTTGAACTCGGTGAAGAAGACCTTTGGTGGCGATCAGTTGACAAGCAACCAAGCGTGCCAGTACAGAAGTAGCCACCCTTTCTCCTTAGATTGGACAGTTTGGCAGAATGCAGAAAAAGTACTGAAGCAATTAGCGTATGTGTCTGCAGATGGATCATAGTGTTAAAAGAGAGCAATTCATTTCGAATGAAGTGGGGATAGAGCTTCAGACAAGTCGGAGGATGGCCCATTTTTGGCTTATAGACGTGAAAATACCGAAATGCATGTTGTCAAGACAGACAGACTGCAGCTTTGGCTTCGCATAAGTTTGTAAACGGTTACGACGGGACTCAAGACCAGATAGATTGTCTGCGCTGTGGGGCAAACGCAGGGTTCAGTAAATAACGAAGCCCTTGTGCTAGCCAATTGTAGGACCCTTCACAAGGAATTATGGGGCGGTAACTTAAGACTTTTTAGAGCAACCAGGCCTGGAGAGTGACACATGTGTCGCTGGAGGCTCAGTCCAAGCAGAACGCCAACCGTGGGAGTTGATAACACCCCGACAGGATGGAAGGGCCGGATGAGAAGACAGCTTTTGCGTGCAAAATACAGGAAAGCTTAATTTTTCTTCGCATTGAGAAGTTGAGCCTCCAGGTCCTGCAATGCTGAAGGGATGTCAGATTGTTGATTTGGGTACGAAAAAAAGCCATGTCCAACTTCATTCTATGCAGCATGTGACTCAACTGGATGGATTACTTGCGAGTCATTAGAAGTAGTGAAGTATGCGGAAATCTACGAGCCGGCCAGCCCATAAAGGCAAGAGTAGACGTGGAAAACAACTAAAATGCTGATGGTACAAACATGTAAACTGGTGCAAAGAGGTTGGCTCGAACAGACATTTAGCTAACTTTGTCTGCATTGTTGATGGCGATTTTAGGGAAAAACTGAGCAACTGAGACAATCAACGCAACTAAAAAAGCCTAACAATGACTTAGCGAGGCTGAGACTTTAGCCTCCCACCGGTATCTTTCCACCCATTATCCATAGAATAATTAGGGTAGTTTATAGAATGATGATACAGCCTTTCCCACAATGATGCTAATGCAGTTCATAGAGCTTTACTACCCAAAACGTTCTCAGCTAACTTTCGATTCACTCGGGTCTCGTTGCAGCCCAACTTGAAAAAGGGAACAGCTTTATGGAGTGAAATTCAATGCCACCATCGTAACAACTATTCCCATATAAAATACCTCAACAGCTTTGTCTAATAAAGGGGTGAAGGAAAACAAAAGAGATAAGCTGAGGCGGCCAAAGTGCCCAACCTTCGATGCCGGTATTTCCCAGGCTTGCTTAGGAATGTAATGCATATAAAAACTTTTTAGTATCGAAAGGTCAGGTCCAATACAAGTACTTCTGTCATGAGCCTGCTTGTGGCTGAACAGCTACTGCTACTACTAATGAAATTGCAATAGCAACAACTACAATTACAACTACTATCACTATTACTAATATTACTTTTACTAATTGTACTAAGTATACTACTGCCACTTATATTACTACAATATCTACTGCTTCTACTACTACTAGCAGTAATTCTAGTACTACTACAGCTAGTCCTACTCCTGCCATCATAACCAGCCTCATTACCTATATTACTGCTAATATTAATTCTGATACTATTACTACTATTATATCAACGACTGCTAATACTACTAAAATTACAGTGACGAAAGCAACAACAAAAACAACTACTATTACTTT